TTTAAGTGGAGAGAAATGTTTTGAGAATGATGTACAAATGCGCTTTACACAATTGATGTGTGTATGGATTGCGATAACAGTTGTATGAGCCCCTAATAATATGTTCAAAAAAATAAAATAAAATGTGTCATAATAGCATAAATAATATAGTAGCCCTAAAAATCATATTTTACATTTGTAAGGCTCAAAAATGGAGAACTATTGTTTAGAAAGCACTGAATTTTTGTTTATGGGAATAGAAATTTGGCAACAGATATTGGTAATAGTTGTACGACATCATTGATATAACTTTTTTGCTTGAATGGTACATGTGAAAATATTGAATTTGGAAATATGCTCTGCACTGTTTTTACAAAAGTAAAAATATTTTTAAGTGAGAATATATTGATGGCAAACATGTATGCACACACAATGACAGTTTTTTTGGTGGTAAGTTGACCGTATATACTGGTATATAAGCTGAGTTTTTTAGCACATTTTTTTATGCAATTTTGTGGTAAAATTAGGTGCCTCGACTGATAATCAGGTCGGCTTATACCTGAATATATACGAGTATATGTAATTTTTTTCTGCTTTGGGGGTGTTTTTTTGGGGGGGGTATTTATTTCCCTTTTGATTAAATCTTTTGTTTTCTTTTTGTTTTGTCTCTATTATTGTTGGTTTGCCTACCAATATAAGAAAAGCATGGGAGGCAAGCCTGAGGAGAAAATAACTGGACCAACGGTTCCAAAGGGACTTGGGGGGAGGAGGAGGAAAGGGGAAGGGAGCGCTGAGCAAACAACGCCATAGACAGCGGAAACTAGGGATTAAAAGCAACAACAAGGAGGACATAGAGATCCTGGGGTGTTGGAGCCACAGCAATCTAGCTGAGAGGAAGTACTAAGAGGCAGAAGAAGGGCGATTGTGACCGTGGGATAGGAGGGAGGTGAAAGGAAACAGAGAAAAGATCTAGGAAGCAAAGCTATGGATCAAGGTATAAACAGAGGTGTGTACATATGCAAATATATTAATTCATAAAAGTAGAAGTATTGGCCTCTGTACATATATTTATATGGCAATACACCGAGGAAGTGGATGGACTTTGGGCCTCTGCTCAAACCCTCCCTCAAGGCAAGAACACTTTGTTCTAAGAACCTGGCATTCCGTGATGCTCACCCTCCTAGCAAGATCACTGAAGACAAAATGGGTGCATAAGAAAATGTGGTACAACCTTCCTCTAGTTCTTAAATGCTTCCTCCCCCCAACTACCAGGACCCCAATTCTGCCTTGTAGACCTGGCTAGACCAGATGATGCACAGCAGTACAGATGGGAATTAGAAATGCAGGGAATCTAGGACAGATGAACCCCTCAGGACCAGGGGTGACAGTGGCGATACCAGGAGGGAAGGGGGGTGTAGAAAGG